GTGTGTGTGTGTGTGTGTGTGTGTGTGTGTGTGTGTGTGTGTGTGTGGCAACTGGGGTTAAGAGACCTGCCCAGAGTCACACAGGTATTAAGTGTTACGTGTCTGAGGCTGGATTTGAACTCAGGTCCTCCTGACTCCAGGGCCAGTGCTCTATCCACTGCGCCACCTAGCTGCCCCAAGGCTCCTTTTTTTAGATATAAGTTAGATTACATGTTCTTTCAAGCCCCTTCCAACCCTGAAATTCTGTGGTTCTGAAGGCAATTTGTTTCTAGGTCCTTGTTGTCTGGGAAGTAAGAGCTCAGAATTACACCAGAAATTCAGAGTAGAAAGTAAAGCCAATTTGCCCTCTTCTTGTATCCAAACAGAACCCAAATTTCTGGGTTTGGTCGCTTGTATTTCCACTGCATATTCATATATATGGTGAAATTGTGGCTATTTAGCAAAAGATATCCCTCTTTAGGATAATTCTTTTAGGGCTGAAACTTCTGTGTGATCATGAACTATTAGGTTCATTGTTTATCCTTAATTTTCAAAGGCTAAAAGTAGAAAGCATCAATATTGAACAAGAGTGACTTTCCTTAGAAGAGAAATATTTAAAAATGAACATAAGTGCCAATATAAATAAAACATTTTATTTCTATTTTTTTATTTTTATTTATTTTTATTAATTTATTTTGATTTATCAATAATCACTTCCTTATGCTTTTGAGTTTAAAATTTTTCTCCCCCTTCCTCCCCACCACCCTTCCCAAGACAGTGCACAATCTGATATAGGCTATATATTTACATTCATATTAAACATATTTTCACATTAGTGATGTTGTAAATAGAAATTAAAACCAATAGGAGGAACCATCAGAGAGAGGATATTTTTATTTTTTTAAAAATAAAACATTTAAAAATAACATTTAAAAAAAACAATTAAAATAACATCTAGGCTACGACTATTCCTCAAAACTTAAAACACAGCTTTGGGTGGTCAGGAAATATGAGCAAGCAGCCTGCCTGATGATGTCATGGTCTGAGAAATTTCCCTAGGGGTTTCTGAATAGAGGACCAATTAGCCATCAGTATTTCCTAGGAAGTCAAGACTACCAGACAGGATTGCCCTTTCTGTCTGTGTAATCTATATCTCTCTGGTTGCATGCCAGGGAGGCCATGGTCTCTTGTGAGTGAAGTCATCCAGAATTAACTCAGGAGGCAGTTTCTGAGAGTCTAAATTTTCCAATTCATCCACTAATTAAAAATCCAGTTTTTCTGGTGAAAACTTTAATGATAAGGCTCTAGTGGTCTGTGTAGGGGAAATTTTGTAGGACTTGTTCAGGTCTGGGGCCTGAGAGAAGCCCGCTCAGTTCTGCTTTGCTGAGTGTGACCTGGATCCTGAGAACTCTGGGTCAGACAGAAAAAATGAAAAGTGACGTGAAAAGTTTGTATCAAATTTATTCTTATTCTGCTCAAGAAAAGTTAATTTCGGAAATTCCTGCGTGCATCCCCAAGTATTGGCTTTCAGGTTGTGAAAGATGTTTTTCACTAAATAGTATTTTCAACTATGAACACTTGTCTAAAGAGAACAAGTCTCTTAAGGGAGTTCTGGATTCAGTGCTGCCCTAAATTTCAGAGGATGGGGCAGGGAAGAGTGGTTCAGGCTAACTCTCTGGTGGTTTAATGACTTCATTCTAGCAGGATGGTACAGTAGAAAGAAAGGGGACTGGATCTGGAGTGAGAAGACCTGGGTTTGAAACCCAGCTTCGTCACTTACTGGCTGTGTGACCTTGAGCAAGTCACAGCCTCTCAGAACCTCAGTTTCCTCATTTGCAGAATACGGAAGTAGGACCAGAAGGCTCCTCAGGTTCCTTCCGCTCTAAGTCTATGATACTATGATCTAAAGGCAGGGGGCCAGCTTCCTAAAAGAGAAGCAGAAAAACCTACCTAGTGAGATCAATGGGGGCAGGGCTTTTGGTCAAGTCTACGTCACAGTGTCCAATGCTTTCTGAGATGGCTCCTGTAATGGATCCCGTTAAAAATGCCCAGCCCAGGACCTGTTTTGGGTTAGATTCCATCTGTATTCATGAAGCAATGATCTGTTGTAACTGAAATAATATAATCAGTCCTTAGCATGAAAAGCAAATTTATCCTGTCAAAAAGCATTACCTTGAAGTATATAGGCTGCTAGCAAAGCAGCATCCGACGTCTTGCAGAGGAGGCGGCCATGGTAGAGATCCCTTTTGATCTGAAGGAAGACTAAATACCTGGAGAGGAAATGAAGAATGAGCCATAAAGGACTTCTTTGATTGTTTTAAAGACATAAAATGTATAATTCAAGACAACCAAAATCTCTGTCAGAATATTTTCACTTCACTTAAGAGACAACTTTTAAAACATCTCACCCCCCTCACCAAAAAAAAAAAAAAGAAAAAAGAAAAAGAAAAAAAAATACAGCTTCTATCTCCCTGGAGTCTGTTTCATGCACTTGTCCCGGATACGACTTATGCATCAATTTAAAACAACCTGTCAATCCCTCTCTGTAGCAGAGTACTCAAAAAAGATATTGCTTTTCCAGTGTACAGCGACTAATTCCCCATTTAGTCTGAAGTGAGGGGATCTCAGCCAATCCCATGCCAAGAAAGGAAAACTGCCCTTGGAGAGGTGTAGTTTCAGGGCTTTCTTTCATTCCAAGCTGTAAATTATGTTGCTTACGAAGACTCAGGAAGGTGAGAGCAGGGATAAGCCATCTCCAAAAGGATTTCAGACCTGATTGACCATGAGTCCTCTAAAAACCACAAATAAGCTTCAGAACTTTTACCCAGGTAGGAGGAGTACACCTCTGTCCACATGGAAATGCTCAAAGGGTTTGCATAAAGCTTGACAGAAGGCAGAGCCAAAGGAAACCTGACAGTTAACCAGAAACACATAGGTAGCACCAGTTCAACTACAGAGATGAGACAGTACACCTCGGGGGAAGCCACCATGTCAGATATAATGGATCTCTGGGTATAGGAGCTGTCAGTGGATACTGTCAGTTCCAGGAGAAAGTGGTTCATTGGAAAGGAGGTTGGATTTGGAGTCGGAAGACTTTGGTTTGAATCCAAGTGCTGCCATTCTCATACCTAGATGACAGAGGCAGCCAGTAGCTCAGTAGATAGAGCCCTGGGCCCAGAGTCAGAAAGACCTCAGTTCAAACCCAGCCTCAGACACTTCCTAGCTGTGTGACCCTAGGCAACTCACTTAAACTCTGATTACCTGATAAAATGGATCCATTGGAGAAGGAAATGGCAAACCACTACAGCATCTTTGCCAAGAAAACCCTAAATGGGGTCACAAAAGGTCGGACATGACTGAAACAACTTAACAACTAGGCAAGTTATTATATTTAACCTTATGCAATAATAATAATAATAATAATAATGATAATAATATAAATATATTATATTTAACCTTCCTAAGCCTCAGTCCCCTCACCTATAAAATGAGGGGGATTGTACTAGAAGACTTCTAAGGTCCTTTTAATTCTAGATCCATGAGCCTATTTAAAATTTCACAGGCTCACTGGGAAGAAACTCAAGCCATAGGCACAGAAAGATAGCCATTTAAAACGGGCTCATCCAAACTTTTACTGACTGCAGCTGTTGGGATATGTGCCCCTCCCTTATTCTCCCAATGAGCACAAAGCCATCCCCTGGGTACTGGATTGTAAGCTTTGATGTCAGGACACATGAAAGGTCGGTAGGTCCCTGGGAGAGGAACGGGAGTGTGATAAAAATTCCTCGGATTTCACCAGCTTGAATTAAGTAGAAATGGGGCTGACATTTTGCACAATTCCATGGGCAATATCTTGAGGAACAAAGACTCCAATCTTTATCTTCACATTTAGCTCTGGTGAGTGTGGCTTATGATTTTAGCGTAACCTGTTCATCCACAGAAAAAATGTCCAGGAGGAAGAGTTGCTTAGTTATTGAAATTACTGGAGAAAACAGGGTAAGAGTCTGGAAACCCTGGATCCCTCTGATTTCAAGAAATTAATGAAGGCAGATGAAAGGAATAGGTGGCTGTGCCTTGGACAATTTCATGGTCTTGCCAGACCCTTCAAATAGAGCTATTCAAGCCTCAGACCCTGCCATTTACCCTCCAACTTCTCAGTATTATGTACCTTCCAACCTTTGGCTTTCTTAAAGTATGAATGGAACATGGCACCCCCTTACGCAGAAGATCATAGACTGAGGGTTGGAAGAGACTTCAAAGGTTACGTAGTCTAACCCGTCATCTTACAGATCAGAAAACTGAGACTTGTTCAAGGTCGCACAAGAAATAAGCACTGGAAATAGAATTTAAGCCCTAATCCTCTGACTCTAGAGCCAAATGCTTTTCCCCACTGTATCGCATCTCAACAAATGTTTATTAAGTTCTGACTACATACAAGACCTTGTGCTCAACAGAGATGTCAGCTGACAACTATATAGTGCTTTAAGGCTTGTGAAACATTTCCCACGAAGGGGCAGGATTTGAACCCAGAGTCAAATGCCAGTCTCCGGAGTGAAAGGTAAGGATGCTATCGGGGTGGGGTGGGGGAAGGAGGGGAAACAATTACTAAACACCTACTATGTGTCAGATACTAGTACTAAGTGCTTTACAAATATCTTATTTTGTCCTCACAACAACCCTGGGAAGTAGGTGCTATTATTATCCTCATTTTATAGGTGAGGAAATTGAGGCAGGCAGAAGGTAAGTGACTTGCCCACAGTCACAGTGTTTGAGTCTGGATTTGAGTTTAGGTCTTCCTGCCTATAAGTCTAGTGTTCTATCCACTGTGCCATCTAACCTATGAGAGATTCCAAAACCAATGTGCTAGGGTAACAGCTGCTTTCTAGACTTCTGGGGACTGGTAAGGCAGCTCAAATCACTGTGGTCAAGGTCAGGCTGTCACAGCTTGACCCCCATTCCCAGGCAAGAAGAGTTCAGTGGTCCCCTAATATTCTCTGTAACTCATAACTTTCTGGTACTACCTAGAAGAGATACTGGCATGCTATCTCCTGTTACCCTAGGGCCCCCCCCTTCCTCATCACCCCCTAAAGACAGTCCAACTGATCCTATAGAAAAGCTGGACAGGAGAAAAGGAGATAAATCTGGAGCTGTAATCCCTAAGTACTGGCTCAGCACTGCCAATATTAATTTAAACTACTATTTAGTAGTGAGTCAACTCTGGGGCTGAATCACAAAAACATAGAATGCTAGAGCTGAAAAAGACCTCAGAGATTATTTATACCAACTCCTTAATTTTACAGATGAGGAAACTGAGGCCTAGTGATTTTAAGTAACTTACGCAGATCACACAGCTAGTTAGTGACAGAGGTGGGATGGATAGAACTCATATCTCCTGCCCCTGGAAAATGAAACCCACAGAGGTTTAAGTGACTTTCCTAAAGTCACAAAGTTAGCTAGCGGCAGAATCAGGATTAGAACCTAGGACTTCAGACTCCCAGCCCTTTATCCAACATGCTTACTCACATAGGTAAAAAAGCCTCATAGTAGGGAGAGACAGGTATTAAATTAGTCAGGTATTATCAAAGAGAACCCCTTAAGTGGTCCAAGATAGAATCTAGTATTAATAGCTCATGTTTTTATAGTACTGTATGTTTTATAGAATGCCTTCTCTATAACAAGACTGTGAGGTAAATAGTCTAAGTGTTATCCCTATCCTTCTTATTTCTCGCCTGGCTTTGGGACTTCTCTGACTATCCCTCCATGGCTTTGGGTACTTTCTCCTCTTCCCCACTTTTTAGCTTCTTTTTGTATGCTGTCTTCCCCGTTTAGATTTTTTTTTTTAGTGAGGCAGTTGGGGTTAAGTGACTTGCCCAGAGTCACACAGCTAGGAACCCCTTTTAGATTGTAAGCTCCTTGAGGGCAGGAAATGTCTTTTTTTTTTTCTTCTGTATTTGCAGGCCTAGCATTTAGCACATTGCCTGGCATATAGTAGGTAGTCCTTAAATGTTTATTGATCAACTGATTAATTTTACAGATGAGCAAACGAAACATCAAAGAGGTGATCTTCATAAAGAAACTGAAGGTCAGAGAGCCCAGACAAGGCAGCACTCCTTATTAAATAGTCTGATTTTGCCTGTTTTTTGGCTTCAGACAGCTTTCATATCACTTCCAGTTTTTGTTCTAATGCCAATTTAGCTCCAAACCTATGGGAGTATGAATCAAGCCCTACGTAATCTTGGGAAGGGAAAATTATATTTTTGAATGCACAATAATTTTCCAAAGTAGTCAGATGTTGACGCATAGCTTTTGCCTAGCAGTTGCTTCTTTAATTAATTCAGACATTAAATACCTACTATGTGCAAGAAACTGTGTTAGGTGCTGGAGATATTTTTTGATTGTATCTGTGACTTCACTGGTGTAAGGAAGTTCCAATAAAGAAACTACCTTTAACAAGGCAGATCTATAACTACTCTTCAGGTGGCTTAGGGTACTGCAAAATTAAGTGGACCTCTTTCACCTCTTTTTCCCTGTAATATATCCTTTGATCTTTGTCTTCTTAACTTTGCTCCTGAATACCCAGTCAGAAGCTGGAAAGGAGAGTGGAATACCCTCGATGTCATCTGGCCCCACTTGTTATGTACCTCTATTTGTTGTTGTTTAGTTGTTTTCACTCATGTCCAACTATTCGTGACCCCATTTGGGGTTTTCTTGGCAAAGATACTATAATGGTTTGCCATTTCCTTCTCCAGTTCTTTTACAGATGAGGAAACTGAGGCAAACAGGGTTAAGTGACTTGCCCAGGTCACACAGCTGGTAAGTATCTGAGGCTACATTTGAACTCAGATCCTCCTAACTCCAGGACTGGTACTCTGTCCACTGTGCCACTTAGCTGGCCCTTTACTACACCTAAAGTCACTGATAAAGAGCTAAATTTGATGCCTTCTCTATTCTCTGTCTTCTATGGCTCAGACAGGGAACTCTATTACTTTAAAAATGAAAAAGGAGATTAATCAGGGCTTGGCACCTAAATTTATCACCTGGAAAGAGTCCAAGTGCTAAAATAAAAAGCAATTCTCCACTCCTCCAGTTCATCCCTCCTCAGATGGGTTTTATAAGTCTGTTAGGTAATGATGGAGGCAGGGTGTGGGAATTCAATACTACTATCCCCAGCGGAAATCACAATGACAGCTGTATTGGTTCAACAGCCAAGCTGTAGGGTGGCAGGGATGTTGAGTAAATTTGGTACCCACCTTTCTTCCTATCAGCAGTG